GTCTACTAAACATTGGTCTGGGTGATTAAGAGTCAGCAAATGAATCAGTCAGTAAGACATGCTATGAAATGTATTGCAAGCCTTATTCCTGATTCATTGTGCTTAAAAGATACTCTTTCTCAGTATCTCACCGTAAAAAGTCTTTGTAACCTATGGTCCAGTTAGGTCATACGTAGATTATAGACTTTAGGTTACAATTTTTTTGTTACTATTTTCCAACGCGGTCAGTCAATAGTTAAAAACTCCATCCATGTAGATCTACAGCTTCTTTGGCCTATTATAGACAAGTCGTCTACTAGTGATATTTATGTTAGTTGTTAGTATTATGAAATTGTGCTATTACTTTTTATTATAGTTTTAGAAGTATTTAATTTAATTTTTAGTATTATACTTTTGTAATGAACGTTAATTTATACCGATTTCATGTACCTATTTAAAACTACTTAACATAATTTTGTTTTCGAATATTAAATAAAACTCATTATTGTACAATTTGCATGCCAGTAAAGGTAGATTAGGAGATTGTTTGTACATTTATAATGTAAGTATGGATAATAATAAATGTAAAACAAAATATGTTGTACACATACAAATCACATTCATTGTCAAAGTGTAATTACTTTATAGTAAAGATCAAAGCCATTCCTTAAAAAATATATAAATTATGATAATAAAAATTGGACAATACGAAAAAACATGTCTTTGATCCATTTTATGCGTTATGTCGAGTCTGATAATTTTTACCGATACCACGAATTTTAAAAGACAAATATATATTTTTTCTTTTTAAAAGACTACTAACAACGTCAGTCACTTAGATTCTTGTTATTTAGTCCAGATTCACGACCGTAGAACACTAAGGTACGAACCTGAAACCAACCATCTGAAACCAATCAAAACTTGTATTTGTTCTTTCGTGAGAGGGCGATCAAATACACCCGAGATATATATTATACTCGAAGAATCAGAATTGAAATATAAAAATGATAATTAAAATATATTTCATATATTTTCATTGTTCCAAGAATTCGTTTTAGTTTGAAGGGGTATGAAGTTCAGTATTGTAAATAAATCATCATCATCATCAACAGCCTTTACTAGTCCACTGCTGGACATAGGCCTCTCCTTAGACCCCGCGTGGGCGTCTGAACGCGAAGTCCTGGTCGGCCGAATTGCTGCTGCCATGCTGGCGGGTGAGGAGGGATGGGGCGCACTGGTCTCTTTCTGTGAAGCTGTAATGCTCCAGAAAGAGACCTCTGAACGGGATCGGGAGAGGGCCGATCCTGAACTTAGAGGACGTCGGCGCCGATAACAGCCGTCGACGGGACCGCAGGCAGCCAGAGAGGGGACCTCTTATGGCAAATTGATTGTTGCGGTAGGTCATGGAATGGCCGATCTGATCGGGCTCCATGCCGCTATTGAGGGGGGAAGTGTTCTCCCCTGGGATAGGGCCTGATTAGGCATGGTGTCAATTCGGGGAGGACCTGAAATAACATGGTCCGGGTCCTCCCCAGAGTAGGACACCTGAGGCCGGCCGTCGGGGTGGTTTTAGTGGAATCACCACATACTCCTGGCTCATAGTCCCCGAGGAGCAGAAGATCCGAAGGGATTTTCCACACCGTCAACAAAAAAACAGGCCTCTCCTTAGAAAGGAGGTTTTATCCTACTGCATAAAAATGTGTATAAATAATAAACTGAGTAATTGTAAAGAAAATGTAAAGAAAATTGTATATGTATAGAAAATTAATGTAAAGAATAACTTAAATTAATGTAAAGAAACTAATATATGTAAAGAAAATTGTAAATAAAATCAAGATGAATTTATCCGACTCGGTTTGAATTACAAACCCTGAACGTACTTGCTGCCTTTTCGTAGGATTTCAATGCTTACTTGCTTCCTTTTCGTAGGATTTCAATGTCTTTTTGTATGAAAACGAATATTGTAAATTTTAAATACTTTAGAGTTTATTTGCCAATTTTAAATAATATCTGATCTAAATGCAATGATAGCGATCAATTAATCGCGAATATTGCGAATGCTGCACTAGCACATAATTAACTAATAATAATACGTTTACGTTTAACAAGAACCACGTTGTTTTCGTTTCATTCGGTAGCCGTGCACTGTGGCAGTTATGCTGCATAAAAATAAAAATACAGCACTGTAATACGTTTAATATTGACCTTGTAGTAACAGACGTTTCACGTCACTGTGTATCATCAAATATTTGTATAAAAACACTGCGGTCACACAATGTCACCCCTCATCCGGCAGAGACGCACCGGTCACATTCAACATAACAAAACACCAATTGCAACGTCGACCTACCTGCCACGACCTTTATAAGCCCTCCTTCAAAACAACTTCTTATGTGTGATTGTAAATGTTATGCTCAAATAGAAAAAAAACTTGCACTTCTATAATACTTATACATGCAAACGTTTTCTTTGCAAGTTTATGTTATTGTGCAGACAGTGAAAAAGTATAATTAAATAAAAGTTTTGGACGGTTTCAAGTTCGATTCTGTAGAGAACTAAAATATGATTAAGATTGACACAGTAGATTGTTTTTCAAATTAGAGCGACTAGATTAGTCAGAACACCTCAACATTCATTGTGCATATGCAGCGGCACTGAAGTAGGTAATGCTTTTTTACTCTTCTTGCTTGAAGGGCAGCCAGAGCTCTATTATCTAGAGAGCTTGATAGTTTTTTCGTTACTACGCAGAGTCTACGCTCATTTTATTATTTATATTACATTGTATTATATTATATTCCATGTCATATAACAGGCAAGATCATTGTTAAGATTACGATTTTGCCAATTAATAGTAGTAACTCTGCTTTTAGTAATTAATTTGTCGTTATATTTCCTCTTGCAAAATTGATTTGCAATAGGACAGTATTTTAAGAATTGGAAAGCTTGTCACTCAAAAAAAAAAACGGGTTTTAGATTCTGAGATGGAGGAATCATATCTATACAAGTTTCTGGGGAACCCTCGGAGTGCATCTCGTACTGGCCGGTTTTTTGTATCTATTACAACACAAGTGGAACATTCTCTAGTGAATACCGAATATTTGAGACTACATTTCATGATTGCACTTTAAATTCAAAAATCTTTTGTAATCTGGCCAAGGTAATAAAAACCAGATATTTTTATGTAAATGTATGTTACAAATAAAAGTTAAAAGTGCTCTATCTAAACAAATATGTATGTAACAACGTATGTCAAACATATTCGTAAGTTAACTAATAAGTTAAATATTATTCTTAGTTACCTGTACAGCGTCCCGATATCTACAACCACATCCTTTATATACCGCGATTAATAAAATGACCTTAGATTATTGTCACATGAAATTCAATGTTAAACATATTGATACGGCAATTTAATCAATATTTTGAAATCAATTCTAACACTACATAATTGCAGAAAAGTATTTTTTTGTGGTATGTTTTCCCATTACAAGAAGTGGGTTATGAAATAAAACATGTGTAAAGTAAATCCTATAGCGGTATATGTTGTACAAGGGATTTTCCTTCACACTGTGGTTTTTACAGCTTTAGTTGTAACCATGTAGGCATAATAATACAAAATGAATCTTCATTAGCATATATTCATGTGTGACTACTCAGGCTTTCCAGTACTAGTGGAGAGTGTTATGCACGGTGTTACCATTACATGAGGTACTGAAATGGAAATAAATTTTAAATAAAGAAATATAAAGTAGCGTATATATATAGATATAAGAGATTTAAACGTATATAGTCACTCATCACGATATCTCTGGAACCATTAGAGCTAAAGACTTGAAATTTGGTAGGAATATTCTTTTCACCGGATTTTAAGAAATTAAAAAATAAATAAATAATTAAATAATGTAAATAGCAAAACAACGTTTGCAGGGTCAGCTAGTACATAATAATCTATTAAAGTCATAAATAAAACATTTTCGTAAATAAAACGTTTCTGTTTCCCTGATTCTTAAACGAATCGAAAGTAACATCATTGCGCATCATCATAAAAAAAAAATATGAAACTGACTTCCTTTAAACCTAATAACGCTATTTCAGATAACCTAAATATTTTTCAGATGATTTCAATGTAAGCTGGTACGTGAAGTCCTGATCGTTAAACTCCTTATTTTAAGAAGTTCTCATATAAGTTTAGCCTACCTTTTTGTAGTTTCATATTCTAGACTAGCGCAGAAAGACTAGGTGCATAGATTTTCCTAATGGCATGTGGAGAGCTTATTGGAGCTAGTTTTTTTTCGCATTTTTCTTTAGATTTAAAATTTTAAATAGATTATGATGAACATATGTTTCAGTATGACAATGAAGCATGTGTCATACGCTAACACATGTATATTACTCACATTTAGTTCTGTGAATTATAATTGGTTGCTTCCGGCTGTTTGCCAATAAGACAATGTCTAGATCCAGTCTAGTCCAGATGTTTCTTACAGAAAATTTGGATTGGATGCAGATGTGACGTGTATAGTAAATTTATATGCAGTATACTATTACGACAGTATACTTTTATTGGAGGACCGGATGGCGTAGTGGTTTGTGTAACGGACTGTGTAACGGAAAAGTATAAATGTATTTATATCGGTTGTCTGGTACCCATAGTACAAGCTCTGCTTAGTTTGGGACGCCAAAAAGCATTTCTATGACAATTATTATCTCATGACTGTTTAACACTATATATTTATTTTCTGTTGAAACAAAATATGTGCATGGCAAAGTCCGATAGCAGATATAATGAGCAACAAAAGCTATGGTCTTCGATTTCGCACTGACATCTGTAACGATGTTTTGTTCTCAAATGAATATACAAGTACACATGTACAATAAATAATAAATAATGCTCAATTATATATAATGTAATATAAAGACATATATTAATTCTCAGAGAAACGAATTTCTTACTAGCGCCTTTGCATAACCAATAATAAGTAATTTATTTAAAAATAAAACATAGATGTGTGGTAGTATTTATGTGTGTAAGATCTGTTTTAAGCGTATCAATTTACGATAGAATATTGTATAGAGAAGTGTTAAAGACACGTGTAAAGTTTATAGCAGTGGAGGGTGCACGCGCGACCTTGCTACATGCGCTTGCGAAGCGTACGGAGCGCTGGGTGGCGCGGGCGCGGGACGCGGTAATAGAAATGTGCGAGCGCAGCGGTGACGTGCTCGCTTATCAGCGGATGCCGCTTATCGCAAGGTTGCAGCGTGCACGTGTTGCTGACCATTTTCTACGTTGCACCGCCTCTCCAGTTACCTTAACTGCGATTTAACTAAACGGAGTGTGGAAGTACATACATTAATTACTACGAACTGAAGTCGGATTGTGTTCTTGGCAAAATTAAATAACATGTGATTCAAACATGTTTTGATTTTTGCATTGTTATTTTAATTTTTTTCAAACATGTAAAACTACACTTTGTATTACGTATTTGAATTGAAATTTGAAACAATTTCAAACATTTAAGAATAAAAGTATACAAGAAAACTATATAAAGATAAATGAATTTGCCTTAACCGATTTTGGTGGCAAAGTTTAATTTATTATTATTTAAATATATTAGAAATCTTAGGTCATTCCTGACGTCGTGGTTAATAAAAAAATGCTACTCGTTTCATGACTTGACTTATATGTATAATACGTGTTTATATAGTAACGGAAGTACTCGTATTCTACAGTGTTAGAAACACACGTAGATTCAAAGCGGTTCTCTTGTGCTGTCATTTTTACCTTAACTAAGTGTCAAAAGTGTTGTTGGACAATTCCATTATCATTTACGATACTATAACGACACACGATATTTTTATATTTTCCCTCAGTTTAAAGAATGCCGGGTCCACATGTATATTTTAAAAATGAAAACGTTTATTGCCAAAAATATAGTTTTTAGCTGACAGTTTAAATTTGCGCTAGTAAAACATTCTAGCCATTCTGATTCTTCAGTCGTGTCTGTCATTGGTCACGCATGAGTACTCGTTGGTCGTTTCATTAGGTTAGAAAGATTTGCATAGTTGTTTACCATTTTCGAGTATTTTTTCGCATGTTATGATACTGTAGCTATTTAAAATGAACCATCCTAATCTTTCATTCAAATCAGGTAGTTATAACAACGCTTTTAGTAGCATGTTTGTTGTTTGTTCATTTTCAAGCCAATGTGTCATTCTATTTTGAACAACAGTTTAGTGATATTTCTACAACCGTACCTCAAACAATCGACAACAATTCTCGCTCGCCTGGAAAGAGCGGTGCTTCAGTCCCTTGGCCTAACCATACGTCCTAGCAGGGGCCCGAGAGCCTGAAAACTCAATATATTGACTAACTGTGTTGACTTGGCAGATCAGTTTTTTTATTGGTTAGCACATTAAAGCACAGATGATGTGTACAAACAGCTAAGTACAAATAAAAACTATACTATTTTCTATAACCTAGTTACTAAATAAATTTTGTAAAATACATGTTTTATATTTTTATTAAACCATATCAGCAAATACAGCACACGCTGTGCAGGATTACTCAGAAGGTTTAGTGTAGAAAACCTTTGGCTTTAAATCTGCTTTTATCACCGTAGTCTCCTGAATTCTTCCTCTACTAAATTTTACCTCCGCAGAGCAGAGCGGAGCAGAGGCATATGTTTTGCTAATTCAGAAAAAATCATTATTAGGCTATTTAAATAAAGGATATATTTAGTTCCAATAAAAAAGTTGGGATCATTAAGTGTACGAAAACAAAAAGATTAACAGTTTCTGCCGTATGCTAAAATGAAAATCTGCTTGGCATATTTATATTAACAGTCTTGTAAGAAAGCTTCCGGATGTTTAAATATTTCGTTGTTTATGGCATAGAAATATTTATAAAGTATATATTATATTTATTTTCCAGTTTTTTCTATTAGAAAACAAATGCCATAAAAATAAGTCAAATATACATTCAATACCTACTATGGAATTTAAGAAAATTATACATATTTTAACGTTTTAACTCATTCATTAGTTCACAATAAAACTATATTTAGTGTACCGAATTAGACAAGTCAACGTTCAAGGTCGCCTTGCAAGGCCAAATTTGATTATACATGTAGGTATATGCCTAATTGAGTGATGAATACATTAGAATTTAAAAATAATATTGTGGGACTTGTTGCATAGTAGCGAGCAAACAAGAACCATAGACCAATATAAATTCATTATAATATAACAAATTCATATCATTGCAAAAACTAAGTGTAACTTGCATTATGGAAATAGGTAAAACACAAACAAACAGATTTTAATAGATTTTATGCAAATATTTGCATTGACCGGTTATTGACAATCGCTGTTGACTTCTCAATCAAGGTGCATACTAGTCCGTCAAACATTCTAATGTTTATTGTACTTGAATCTTTGATATCTATACTAATATTATAAAGCTGAAGAGTTTGTTTGTTTGTTTGTTTGTTTGTTTGTTTGAACGCGATAATCTCAGGAACTACTGGTCCGATTTGAAAAATTCTTTCAGGGTTAGATAGCCCATTTATCGAGGAAGGCTATAGGCTATATATCATCACGCTAAGACCAATAGGAGCGGAGCATCAATAAAGAATGTTTCAAAAACGGAGAAAATTTATTACTATTGAGAGACGCAGACGAAGTTGCGCCGGTCAGCTAGTGTATTATAACAGCGCGAAACGACTTACAAAGATTTGTTACATATTGCTATACCTATTTGGGCTCTGCTCGGATTTTTGTGTCATACTAAAGGTATGCGGTCTAATCTACTGGGGCTCTTGTGTATATATATACCCCGTAGAGTATTTTTTTCCGCCTTAGGCTTAGGCGCCTTAGGCGCCTTAGGCCGTAGGGAGGGCCTAAAGTGGTTGAAAAAATGATAGTTTCAAGTCGTTGTTTTTCTTTCTCATTAAAAATCTTCTAAGCTCGCAAACATGCTAATGCATAAGAAGCTAGCTATGGTTTCTGCGATATGAATTTCATATTTAATAGTATTCTAATTTACAGAGCAGTCATCCAACCTATGAATGTATTAATGACATAAAAATTCAAAAGCAAATTCCTTTAAAACATCTTACAAAATCGCAAATTTGCGGGTTGTAAAATTTGTGTTTAAAAATTCAGTGTTAAGAATTTCGTAAAGATTAAGATTATCGTATTTATCGTTCCCGATGTCTTAAACAACTTGGCACATCAGTGCAAAACTGATTCTATATTTCTAACCCTTAAATAGTAACTTAACGTTACAGCAGAGCATTTTTAGAAATGTATCAATCTTTTATATGTTTATATGTCATATATTATATTTATATTCATTTATTACAATCAGATAGTACAATCCATTAGTGTTAGTAATTTCTTATGATAAGTGTGTTATTTCAATTTCAATTTATTCAAGGTAAATTGTACAGAAAATAGTGATAAAAAGGGCGCTCATTTTTTAGCTATAACAATTACATATAGAATATGCGGCTGGTACCTAAAAAGGTAAAACCTGAGATATAGGTACCAGCTACCTTCCAGTGACACTGAGTTATTAAATGCAGATATACATAATTTAATTAAAATTGCCCTGTACAACTTGTAAATTAATTTACACAGTTAATGTTGTCTTACTTATTAATACCAAAACATGCATAGTTACATATGAATTTATATAAATGTAATAATGCATTTGTGATGTATGTGTTAATGTGTGTGTATGTCTGTGTGCATGTAGGTGTGTGTGTGTGTGTGTGTGTGTGGGGGGGGGCATGATCATATCTGAGGGTGTAGAATAGCCTCTGTGTCCTCATATGTGAGGGTCAGCAGATAACTTGTAAGTATCTTTTTGGTTTCAAATTTGGTTTTATTATGAAAAACAAGAAGGTTGTTTATCTTATTGTATAAGTAACGTCCCAAGAAGAAATAGAACTTATGACCGAAAGATGTTGTGCAAGTGTAGGTTAATGGGATCTTATGTTTACGACTTCTACGCGCCTGAGTAAGTACACTTAATAGTGGTCTTTCAATTTTGTTCTTAGAGATGTGTTGCTTTAAAATTATTTGCAGAATGAAAATTTGGCGCACTGTCAGTACTTCACAAAACTCGTACAATTTTTTAGATGGAAAACGATAAGGTTTGAAAGTGCAGACTTTGAGCACTGCTCTTTGGGCTCTTTCGAGGTGAATTAAATGGCTTTTTGATGCTCCTCCCCAAGCAGAAATGCAGTATCCCAGTAAAGACTGGCAAAGCGCGTAGTAGACCATCTTTATAACGTTAGGATCGGCAACATGTCTTAAATGCTTGAAAACATACATTAACTTACGTACTCTACCACATAAACTGTCAATGTGTTGATGAAACGATAAGTGGTCGTCGAGTATAACACCAAAGTAGCGAGCAACGGATGTCTGATTGAGAGTAGGGCAGTTGCAAACATCACTACAAACTCCGTGAGTGTGGACAGTAATTTTATGGTGGGGGTTACTTGTTAAGGAATTTTTAATTTTTAATGTCATTATGTTTGTTTTATTGACATTCAAGGTAAGTCTATTATTTGTTAACCATTGTGTAATTCTGTTGAATCCAAGTTGCGCTGCGTGATAAGTTTCTTGCCAGGTTGTTGCTTTAAAAATCAATGCGGTATCATCTGCAAAGGCTACTATTTTACCACTTTCCAGGACAAGGTCGCACATCTCGTTAACATATATTAAGAATAGCGTCGGCCCGAGGATACTCCCTTGAGGAACGCCATATAACACTGGGATTTCAGAGCTAGTGTGTTTTCCCACTTTAGTACACTGTGTGCGATTACTCAGATAGCTCTGGAACAGTTTTAGTTGATTCCCCCGAATGCCTATTTTTTCTAATTTCATGCATAACTTAGAGTGGGAGACAGTATCGAAGGCCTTTGCCAAATCAAGAAAGATTGCTGAGGCATTTCTGTTTTTTATCTAGTGATTCGGCAATACAGTTAGTAAGGTCATGGACTGCGTCGTCCGTCGACATGGAATTACGGAAACCATATTGTCTATCAGATAGCAGGTTATTGTATTCCAGATATCCCTTTAACCTTTTGTTCATTATTCGCTCTAAAATTTTAGAAAGTGCTGGTAGCACAGAAATTGGTCTGTAGTTATGTAAGTTGCGTTTGTCTCCTGATTTATGTATAGGATGGACAAGGGCCTTTTTAAATCGATCTGGAAATACTCCAGTGCTAATACATAGATTCAGAATGTACGTGAGAGGCGGAATTAGACTAGCCTTGAACTGTTTAATGACATACATAGGAATGCCATCAAT